ATTTATGATGTAAAACGCGTTGGGTATCTTTGTTTTTTACTACTGATTCTATTTTTCGAGCTCATCCTGTATTTGATTGAATTTTAGCTGAATATTTCGAGATTATTACCAATAGAGATGTCTGTTCTTTACTAAATAATAACGAATTTTTTTCTACTTGTCAACAAGTTAGAAGTATTTGAACTTCATTTAAAGAAGTTATTCATGCTCTCGAAGCTAATAATGCCAATTTAGCTGATTGTTTTAATTATTTAATTAAACTTGCAGTTAGAATTAATCAAATTCCAACAACAAATTCTTTCAAAGTCATAGCTATTAATATATTTAATTGATAATTTAAAGAATTTCAACATCCAATTTACCTTTTATCATATTATATTCATCCTAATTATCGTGGCTTCGGGCTTAAGAATAGTGGGTTTAGAAAGGCAGCACTAATTGCTACTTCTTTGTGAAAAAGCCTAAAGCATACAGAACAAAAAAGTAGAGAGTTAATTACTCAGCTTCGACTTTTTGATGCAAAATTGCCACTATTCAATTTACCTTATACTGAAATAGACACACCAATTTTATGGTGAGGTTCTATTAAAACAAAACCTAGTTACTTAGCAGAATTAGCATGCCAGTTATTTTCTATCTCTCCAACACAAAATAATTGTGAGCGAAATTTCTTCGTATTAAAATAGATAATTAGAGATAGAAGAACAAGATTAGGTGTTAGTAAACTTGAACATATGTTAAAAATCCGATCATATTATATGGTTAATATTAAATCAGAATTAACATGTTATGAAAGAGAACTTACTGAAGCAGAGTTGCATGAAATTATGAATTCTTCGACTGTTGGAGAGGTATATCTATGTATAGAAAATATTTTAACTCAGATTAGATTTTGATTATCATACTTAAATCAGTTAAAATTTTTTATTACTGTTAAGGTAATGGCCTTGGAGAGTAATGATAATATGGTTAATTCTAATAAATTATCTTATGCTGAAATAGAACAAGAGACTTTAGTAATTGACGATATTGTAGATTTGACACAAAATTATTTAGAAGAAGGTGAAAGAGAAATGTTAGATACTAACGATGACTACAATTTACAAGCTGAAAATATGAGTTATTCACTAGAGGATTTGGTGGCTCGATTTTTATTACAACTAAATGATTAATAAGTTAATACCTATATAACGATAACCTGTTATTAAAATAAATTCTACGTCTATATTATAAAAAGATTTGATTAGTAAAAAAAATATATCACCTGAAATTATCATTTAGGTTGTGACACAAGATACGATATACATCTTTTGTCATATGCTATTATGAGTTACAACCAGCTTGTGTAATGGTATTACCGTTATGACACCAAGTTATACCTGCAACTCTAGGAGGAAGGGTTAGTGATCAGAGTGTTTAAATAGGTAACTTACAAGCAGGTTGCAGATATGGCAGCATAGTGTAGAACTAACAGATGGTCGATCATCTGTATAGCAGACTACTTAAATTAGATAATAACTAAAGTTGTACGTGTGGCTTGTTGTACACTCATCATGTAATTGTAAACCTTAGGAAACTGTTCATGTAATTGTTCCATAATAACAAACTAATAAAATCTAATCAGCCAAGGAAGTGGCCTTAATAACAAAAAAAAAATAATAACTATATATAATTTTTTTTCTAACTTGAGTGATCTTGCCTGTTATTTATTAGAGGAAATATCATTAAATACATATAAAATACATATCATAAAATACAAATAAGATACAAATTATATAAGTTCTAAAACTAATCTATAATTAAATCTCTCTTCATTACAATTCTAAACTCATTTAGCTACTAAATAGTGCTCAGATGTGATCTGCTACAGAAGTTATTTTTCTTCTTACAATAACTTTTCTCAAAGGAGATATTATCTTTGAATCAACAAAGGTAACTTCAGACTTTATCAAGATCCTAGATCTCTTCTAACCTAAGTTACAAGTAGTTAATACCTAGTCTCAAGATAAAAAAAAAATAAAAATTGTTACTAATCTAAAAGCACTAAGCTTACTAACAAAAAAAAACTTGCTTTAAGTTATAAAAACTTTATTAGGCAATAACATAATGAAAGGGACAAAATATATAAATGAACCAAAAAAGATAACCAAATATCCTATAACCTGAGTTAGGCTTAAAAATTTTAAGTTGTGCAACTTATAACTTATCTCAAGTAATTCTCTAACCAATATATAATCTACTTTTAGAGTTTAGGATCTGTAGTACTGAGGTCATATTCTCGACTAAACAATAAACAAAATATGTAAATTATTATTATACAAAGTAAGTGACTTTGTTAATAAACAAAACATATAACTTGTTTACTATACAAGGTCATATATCTACAGAGTAATTCCAAAAATAAAAGGAGTAAACAATACTAATTTTTTGTAGAGAGAACCTAGATTCACCATTTTTGTCAAAAAAATAGAAGATCAAAAAGAAAAAGCTTGCAATATATTATTATTTTGTAAAGCCTAAAGGAGTATTTAGACAAAATAGTTTATTATTTTTCTTTTTAAGTCTTCTTTTACTAACTTTATTAATAAAGAGTGATTTGTATATCTTTACTAAAGTTTTTTATATAAGAGCTCTCTCCTTCTGCTAATTATCTTGTATAATATCACTTTTAGCTTGCATATTAAATATATAATGGAGTTCTCAAAAGCAAGTAATTGATCACTATAAAAACTATTATATTATAAAAGAAATTTCTTTATCTTTCTATAATAAATTTTTGATTTTTTTGTTTTTTCAAATTTTGAGAAAAAGGATCATCAGAAAGAGTTTGATTATTTGAATAACTATATTTAATTTAATAAACTATATATTATAATAATAAATATATTTAATTTATATAATTATAATAACTATATTTAATCTAATTAATTATATATAATTATAAAAATTTATATTATAATAAATAAAATAAATAAAAGAAGAATAGTTAAAAATTAAAACAAAATAAATGATCTTGATAAAGACTAGTAGTAGCTTCTTATAGACTAGAGGCTTAAAGTCTAAATTTGCAGACTAAGGTCTCTGCAAGAGAAATTGTTGCTACAACAGATCATATTTGGATACTTTAAGATAGCTGAATAATTCTAAAATAGTTGAAGAAGAATATTTTATTATATCTTAGATAGTAATTTATTTTGTAGTATATATAAGCTTTTCTTTAATAAATTAATAGTAAAAAAAAAAAATAAATAAATAAAATAAGTAATATTGAACAATTTACTACTTAAATTATAACTTAAATTACATTTTGCATTATAAATTATAATTTATAATATAGGTTATAATCTATAATATAATTTATAACTGTTAACATAGATTATTATTTATAGTATTATAACAAAAACTATAATAGTTATAGCAAAAGTTATAACTACTACTATAGAATTATGACTACAACTCTATGTTTAAATAATTTCAACTATAAAAAAAAATTAAAAAACTTAGATTAATAAAAAATTAAAAAATTTGTATTATTTTGAATTTGGAAAAAGTAATTAAAGAAATAATTTTACTTGATTATTATTAAATTAATTTATTAACTATTTCTAACTATCATCTATTATAAATATATTTACCAAAAAAATTTGATTCTATGTCAACTTATCTAGCTTACAAAGATATAAGGTTTTAACTTACTAGCTATTGAACTAAGGTTAGCTTATATCACTAATACAAATATCATATTATGAATAGCACTATAGAGATATTAACTAATATCAATTTAATATTTATTATATTGCAAATAGCACTCTAGGAATATTAACTAATATCAATTTAATATCTATCACAGATAAGATATCAAAAATATAAATACTCTTTTATTTATTATATCAATAACTTAATTGCTGATCTGGCTAAGATCAGCACTATTTTTATATTAGAATTTGAGGCAAAATTACTATAATTTTTATTATATGCTGGAATCTAACGTCGTTCCAATAATAAGTATTTTTTTATTAAGTTAACAGCTCAAGTCAATTAATTGAAAGTTGTAGAGCTTACTGAGATAAATCTAATTATAGTTAGATTATTCAAATTGGCCTAGTATACGCTAAGATATTACTAAAAAACAATTGGTTAACTATATAAAATTTCTAGTTTGTTTACATAGAATTTTATATAGTCAGTTAATAGTTTTTTTTTAGTGATATCTTAGTATACACTACGCCAATTTGAATAATCTAACCATTATTAAATACGTCTCAGTGAGCTCTACAACTTTTAATTAATTGACTTGAGCTGTTAACTTAATAAAAAAATTACTTATCATTAGAACGACATCAGATTCCAGCATATATTAAAAGTTTATATTGTATTTATCTCTAAAATTTATTATTGTCCTAATATGGTAGTAGTGTTGATCTTATCCAGATCATCAATTAAATATATTTTGATTTAATCTTTATATACTATATAATATTATACACTTTAATATTTTAATTATAGTAGTAAAGCTACCTTATTATTATATTTAATTTTCTAAATAATAAAGTATAATTACTTTGAATTTATTATATAACAATAATTTTTAATATTTGTTAAATCTAATTCTTTGACTTGAAATATTTCTATTTGAAAATAGTTTTATTGAAATAGAAATGATCAAATTAGTTGACAATATAGTTCAGTAATTCAGATTTGTAAATACAACAAATTTTTGAAATACTAAATATAAATATTTATTATTATTTTTTTATTTTTTTTTTGTTTATTAAGGCTACTTCCTTAGCTGATTAGATTTTATTAATTTGTAATTACGGAGTTACTATAGTAATAATCTCCTAAAGTTTTACAGTTATATAATAAGTATATAACAAGCTATATATACAACTTTAGTCATTGTCTAATTTAAGTAGTTCGCTATACAGATGATTGACTATCTGTTGGTTCTATACTATGCTACTATATCTGCAACCCACCTGTGAGTTACCTATTTAAACACTCTGATCATTAACCTTTCCTCCCATTCAAACTAATATTACCCCTATATCTAGAGTTGTTAATGAAGTACTCTAAGCTATAATAAAACATATAAACTATTCCAGTTTTAAACTGAAGTAGTTTATATGTTTTATTATAGCTTAGAGTATTCTATTAACAACTCTATCTATATCCTACTGTTTAAGCTAGCTAACTTACCTGGGGATCTATTTACTATATGACTTAGGTCCTCTCAGGATACGTATTGCCCAATATATTGTGAGCATGCAGAGCTCTAGTAAACCTCAGAAGTTATTTCTACTAGCTTGGTCATGTGCCTATTTTACAGATTCATCTAAATTGAACCCTTGTCAATGTTCATACAAACTCAGTTCCTGCTATAGCTATTTATCAGATATAGTCCTCCAAGTTCTAGCTAGATATTTTATGAAGTAGATTCTCTTAAGCTAGTTAGCTGCTAAGCTAAGTTAGTGTTGCTACTAATGCAAAGTACTAGGCTATATTATACAGTAGACTTACTCATACCTATTAATCTCATATTCTTTATACTCAGATTTTTTATTGGATCAGATGTTAACTAGCTTGACCATCAAAATTAGTACTACTTTACCAATTTTAGGATTTCTACTATACAGGTTTCCTACTCATAGATCCTATCAAGATTTATTTATGTAATATAACTCGAGCATTATATCATACTTCTAATGTCTAATTAATATTAGTACAATGTGATTTACAGAGTTGTAACCTCCAGAAACAAGTAGAGTTTACTATAAGTTGAGTACAAAGGTTTAGGTAATTATTCAAATTCATCAACAGTGAGATTTGAACTCCAAACCTCTTGTATAGCAGTCTGGCAACCTAACCACTACACTAAGATCACTAGACCTTATATAGATATTTATTATATATTTATTAATTATTCATATTTAATTAATAAAGTAAAATTTTTAATTAAATAATATTAAATTAATATATATTATACTTTTATTTTATTATATTTTTACTACTGTTTTTATAAATATAAAGCTGAATAGTATTAGATTTTTCAGAAATCTATATCAGAATAATTTTAACTATAATGTTTTAATTATCTTTATTATTTTTATTTTTAAAAATACAGCAAGTATAGAGATTTATTATAGGTTTGATTATAGAAAACTTAAAATTT